AAAAAAAAAAAAAAAAAAAAAAGAGAGTGGTAGGCACAATTTCCTGGCTGAACACATCAGTCTAATACTTCACCAAAAGCCTGAGTGTTGTAGAGACTGACAGCTCCAGTGGATTGATCCTTCCGTCCCGTGTCCTCCCAGGATGATGCAGGGAAGCGGCTGAGGGGCAACCCACCTTCTGCCGGCAACACCTCCTTCTCACAGCCCCCGCATAGGCACGGATCCCTACCATGAAGATGGAGCCAAATTTGCTGATCTGGGGGTTACTGACATTCATCATCAAACCTGGCTGTCTGACAGGTAAGGGGCCACGGGGTATCCTTGAAATAGTGAGACAAGATCTAATGGATATTACTTCTCCTCAGCCCAGAACCAGAGAGGCACGTAAGTAGAAAATTCCAAGAACAGAGTTGAATCTTGGGCTCTACCTCTGGTCTGTGACCCACTAGGACCTCATTTTGTGCCTCAATGGCCCCTAATCTGTAAAGAGACCTTAGTATGGTATTAGGCTCTCTTGTCATTCACAGTCTTTGACAGTTATTCTAGGGAGAATAGATTGGTCAGATATTTGGATGTTAACAAGATACTGATGAACAGATTTCTCAAGAAATGTCCTTTTATTTTCCAATGACTTTAGTCTTCCTCCCTCGCTCCCACCCCTCGTTGTAAGTAACACTAAAAAGCTATTAGGAATCTAAGTCCAGGTTAACCTACCTGAAATATCAGTAACTCATGTATGAAATACTAAGGTATTTAAGATCTCAGAGAAGTTTAGCTTTAAGAGTGTATACTTTGCTTTTACCACCTAGTAATAATACCTAGGAAGCTCTTTACACATGCAGCTATATGGATATTTTAGAAAATACAAGCAAACTCACTTACAAAACATTACTTTTTCCTGTTTCTATGTGTATATGTGATGTATATGTCTGCGTGTGTATGCAAATTTTGAATTCATTCATCACTTCAAATAAGATTTCTCAAGGATTTTTTTAAAGAAATAACCACTAACTTCTACCTCAAACCACCCTTCTAATTGAGTGTGAATTTTCTACTAATAATATCTACCCTTGCTTATCCAGGAAGACAGATAAGGTATGAAAGTTGATTATCTCTATTATTTTTTTCTGAGAGTCTATATTTCATATATTTAACCTCTAGAAATAAAATGCTAACTGGCTACAGAAAAGAAATGTGTGAAGAAGTGAAATACTATGTGCATAGGAGGAGTCTCTTTGTTTAGAGAAGGAGCTAGGTTGTGTTGACACTGTACTGACCCAGGTGTCAGAAACTCTTTGGTTTTCAATTAAAATGGAAAATTTTAGAAAATTATAGGAAGGTTTATAATGTGGTTTCTACCTCAGTGGGGTCTTTGCCAAGTCAGTCTAAACCATTAGTCTTTACACTTAGTCATGCTCTATCTTTGGGAAACACATTTCAAGTAAACTTACATTGTTTCTAGACATTGGTGACTTATCTGAGGATCTGGATGCTCTCAGGAACAGTGGAGCAAGTGGAATATCTTGTAGATTCTTTCACACATTCAGTTCCCCCAAAATCTGCCCAGTACCGCTTCTGCTCCTTTTAACACTATAGGAAATACAAAAGTGAATAATATATAGTTCTGATCCTTAAGAGATTTAAAACCTAGTAAGGAGGATGAAGGCATAGATACAAGTCAGAATGTGATAAGATCTAAGAGCACAGGCTACCAGAGAAGACTTCATGAAGGTGGCATGCAAACAGAGTCCTAAGAAACTAGTAAAGTTCCATAAGTGGAGATTCAAGATAGAGAGGACCATCTGAGCAAAGGCATTAGAGAACAGCAAGTGTGTACCCCACCCTGGATGGGGATTTGGAAGTACTGAGACTTAAGACTGGAAAGATTGGATGGGGTCAAAGTAATTATAATGCCTTGGTTACCAGGTTAAAACTTTTGAACTTCATTGGGTAGGCAATAAAAAAAACTACTAAAAGATTAAAGATTGCTACTTACAGAGTACAGAGTACATGCCAGACATGTAAGTCTTTTTATAGTCTTCATAAGCACTTTGCATTGTGGACGTCCTGAACCACTAAATGAAGAAGAACTCAAAACTCAGAATCACACATACAGTGGCAAGGCCAAAGCTCAAGCCAGTTTCCCCAACTTGTGCTCTTTCTGTTCACTACAGACAGAGTCAGAGCTTTATGGAGATGACTCTGGCCAGGAGTGGAAGGAAATCAGGTGCATGAAACAGTTCTTAAAATAGCCCATTCTAGAGACATATGAAGATCTAGTGGCCAAGGAGAGTGAAATGGATTAAGTTTCTATAATCAATTTAGGTTCAGGAACCACTCCAGGGCAAGAAATAATCTTATCTCCTACTTTTTCTTCCGAGAGGAACCCAGTTTTAAATAAGTCTTTTTATTCCCCAGAGATGAGTGGTCTCTAATGAATTCAAACAGACTATCAACAGATGCAATTTCTAGCTGATTCATAAGGCAGATTTTCATTCTGAAAATTTCCAAAGCCACCATTTAAAAATTATGATAGTTTATGGGTGATGGATTAGTCAACTCGGGCTTTTTTGAAGTCTCTTTATTACTGGGTCCTGGGATGTGGTTAAAAAGAGAATTCTCCTGATGTTGCCAACCTAGCACGTTATTGAAGGCACCTTTTTCAGAATTGTGGAAATTCTGAGCGTTTATATGTCTCTTGATCATCTTTCTTTCATTCTAGGAATTCTGTTATCAAATCTTTATCCTCTAGACACAAAAATTTAAAAAAATAAGTGTGGAAACCCATTAAGCTGATATGTTAGTGTAATTATCCCTTCTCATGAAGACTACTGCCCACAATGGAATTTCCCATGTTCACTTTTGTCATTAAAGCACAAAATGTTTAACACTTTACATTTAATACTTCACTTGTTTGGATCTCAAAGTATTATTACCACTGTTACCTTGTTAATCTTCAAAATGTACCTTTTGGGAGTACTCATAAAATAGTCACTACTTTCTTAAAAGCAGAGCATCTAAATAGGCAGTTTGCTATAGTGCCTGTGCATACACTCCATTTTAGATTTACAAATCGGAAACAAAAAATGCATTTCACAATTCTGTACAAAAAGAATTGACTTCAGGGACCAGCAGATGGCATAGTAGTTAAATCACTGGACTCCCACGTAATGGAATGTGGTTTGAGTCCCAAATCTGGTGGCTTAAAACTCACGCTGAGTGCATGTGCGTGTGTGCCAAAAATCCCGAGAGGAGAATGAAGGAGAAGGGATTGCAGTGTGGCCATCTCCTCTAGGGGGTGATTTCTCACTTTCTGTCTCTCTGGCAAGTGCACACACCCTGTAACAAAACTCTCTAAAAAAAAAAATTAACTTCATTAATGCATTAAAGATGCTCATAAAGTATGGTTGATGTGTTCTACAACTCTACCCTCCTTCTCATTCATCTCAAAATCTATTCTTAGACTTTCTTTGGCTGAAGACTTGAGTATTTTGGGTACCTCTGGGTAATTTCTTGTTGAAATAATTTCTATAATAACTCTAGATATCATTAAGTCAGAGATTGCTCAACATGCAGTCATTCAGGTTAATTCCCTTCTCCCCTCATTATTCAATGAAGAGTAGAAACTTTACAAATAAACAGAGAATTCCCTTAAGAAGTAAGGCATTATAACCTGAGGTCAGTGCAGAATAGAATTAGGAGGAATATGAACTTTGCAGGAAGTGGTAAGTACACAGAGGTAACTCCTAATGGAATTACCAAAAAGAAGACATGTGAAAGGCATGACTCTTGACAAATTTCTCTCTGTAAAATGACCAGGCCTTGAAACTCCCTTCCAACTTGCAATTCTGTCACTCTATGACAAGGATTCTAAAAAGAAAAGAAAAGAAGCTCTGCTTAAAGGCATTTTCATGTTGGTTCTGTGGCTTGGTGGTTGAGGAAGCTGGATTCCACATGGTCCACCATGCAGTTGAGTCCTGGCAGCTTGAGAGGCACACCAGGCAGGTGTGCCTACATGCCCCAAATCCTGAAAGGATGGAGAGACGGAGGAGGAGGGATTTTGGCATGACCATTCTTCATGGGGCAGGGGTGCTTTCTCCTTTTTCTCTTTCCATCTCTTTGTCTCTCTCTGACAAACACACACACTCTCTAGCAAAAAGAAAAAAAACACTTTCACACTGGAATGTGTCTATTTGCCAAAGGGTGTGTGTGCTTGCCAGAGAGAGATAGAGAGACAGACAGAGAAAAAGGGACAAAACACTTCCCGATGGCGTGTGGTCATGCTTCAATCTCATCTCCTTCATTTCACCATCCTGTTAGGATTTGGGGCAGGCATGCACACATTCCCAGCGTGTCTTTCAAGGACCAGGACCAGGATTCAAACCACAAAGTTGGCCATGTGGGATCCTGATCTCTTAGTCACAAGGCCATGAGACTGGCCCAAGATGGGGTGATTTGGGATGAAATAATCTCCTAACCAAAGGCATACCCAGCAGAGTTAGGGTTGAGAAACCAAAGCTTGACATCTCAGTGCCTGTTATTTCCATTTTTGAAAAGCTCCTGCACTACACTCAAGCATGATGCTCTGCTGCCACAATTGCTGCAGCTGTCATTTTCAAGGCCAAAGTACCACTAACTGTTGGTGAGGTTTCTGCTACTTGCTTATTTAGGCAATGACATAGTGTTCACATGTATATGCAATCCTCCTGTATATTTTAAACCATCCCTAGGCTATTTATAATACCTAATACAGTGTGAATACTATGTAAATAGTTGTTATTCTGTATTGTTTTTAAATCTAGATTACTTTTTATTGTTATTGTTGTTATTTTCTTCCATAAATATGTGCTCAGGCATTGTCAGGAATATCTGCTCTCAGACATTGTCCTTGTCACTCGTGGGAGACGTTTTTACATGTGTGGGAATCAGTCTATCTTCTCTTTATGCAAGTTTGTTCCCTGCGAAAAAATTTTAAAAGACCATAATTTAATTGATTCCTTCAAGAAGCTATAGGCTCTTCATCCAAGAAAGGGTTCAAATAGAGGTTAGAGTGGCATCTAGATCTCCCAAATGCCAGTTCAATATTCCCTGGAGAAGGTAACAGTTCTTGACCTCAAATGTTCATGGTTTAACAATGGAGGTGAAACATCTGTTGAGCAATTCCTATCTTGAAGACCACCAAGGGGAAGCCAACAGTGTTTGCCTATGAGTCAACGATTCATCACTGAACCCCCCAGCATGCTTTCAAAGAAGTCATTCATTTAGGGGAAAACAATAATATCACTGTCTGTAGGGCTGTT